AGTCTGGTGGCCCTTCCTCAGAACAAAGGAAGTTCTGAGGAAGGGTCACCGGGCCCGAAATATTAATTCTGATTTTTTCTTCACTGATGCTGCCAGACCTGTTGAACTTTTCCAGCAACTTCTGATTTTGTTCATAGAATTCATTTTATTTTAAATTACCAACCCACTTAATCCCTTGGTGAGAAAGTCAGCAGCGATTCTTCCTGCCCTCCACTAAAGGAAACCTTGCAAAACTCGAGGATACATCCCTTATCTTAGATGTTGTATTGTTCATTCTTGACTAGTTACATTCTTTTGGATGACAATTTTTATCAGAATATTTATCAGGATTCCATATTCTACAGTGCATTTGATTACCTGTATTTGGACCTTTCCTCATAGCTCTTAAAAGCATTCCCACCTAGATATTCATCCAGCATTTTTTTTTAATGTTCTATGGAAAGAAGTGGAAAACTTGCATTTGAATTTTATCACATCTCTAAAAAAAACCAGTGGAATTCGCAGACAATAGGGGTGCTTTTTTTTTGCTATTCTTCATTCCAATGAGAATTTCTGTTTTATCTGAATCCAAAAATGCAAAAAGGACAAATCTTTTGCTTCTCTACAATCAAAAGGGTTTTTCTCCATGTGTGCTTTTTCAAGTCAAGGCAAAATGTTTTTTCATTTGTTTACTGGAAGCTGTGTGTAACAGAAATCTCAAGCCATATCCAAAGAAACTAAAGAGAGTAGCATGATGGCAGATAATCAGACAGAACATGGATTCTCATTTCACCTTAACAAACAAAAATCTGTGGATTCACATCAGCTTTCATAAACTGTCTACATTTTATAGGTACAGCAAAAAGATGGAGCTTTGATAAATATGCATTTCAAATTACTTCATATACTCATAAAAAGATTGCAATTTGCATTCAAAGATTTTTGTTTAGGATGACAGGATAACTTGTTTCTTACATATTCACATTCCTTTTACTCCTGCTTGCAAGTTTTCTTATAATGTGTAGCTGTAGATGTAATCTCACAAACTTGCAAGCAGGAGCTAGGCAACATTACAAAGGTTATTATTCAGACTATGGTTCAAGTCTTGGTTAGTCTACAATCTAAGAGATCAGACCCTTCTTCAGAACTGATAGTGGCTAGGGAAAGGTGGTGTTTATACTGATGACAGGGGGTGGGGAAAGGAGTGAACAGATCAGTGGAGATGGAGCCCAGAGAGAGGAAAAGTTAAGCAGACAAAGAGACAGTTGATAGTAAAGCCAGGGAAAAAGAAAAGCTGATAATGAGAGCTATGAGTGGGTGAAATGGGTTGGCTGTCCTGAAAGCAGCCCATGTCATCACAGGGCCAGGGTTTGGGGGTGGGTAAAGGACATGGAAAAAGGTGTTCAAGCCCTAAAATTATGGAGCTCAATATTGTATCCTGAAGTCTGCAGGGTCCCTAAGTGGAAAATGAGATGCTGTTCTTTCAGCTTGTGCTAGAGCATTGCAGCAAGCCTGAGTCGGAGACATTGGCCAGAGAACATGGTGGTGTGTTGAAGAGGCAGGCAACTGGAAGCTCAGGGTCATTTTTAGCAAACAGAATGTAGGTGTTCTGCAAAGTGGTAGCACAGTCTGCATTTCGTCTCCCCATTGATGAGCAGACTACACTGTGAGCAGCAAATGCAGGAGACCAGCTTGAGTGATGTGCAGATAAAGCGCTGCTTCACCTGGAAGGTGTGTCTGGAGCCTTGGATAGTGAGTAGGAAGGAAGTACATGGGCAGGTGATACACTTTCTGCAGTTGCAGGGGAAGGTTCTTTGGGGGTGTGGGGAATTGCTGGGGATGGAGGAGGAGTGGACCAGGATGTCCCAGACGGAACACCTCCTTGCGGAATGTTGACATTGAGGGGAGGGGAATATGTGTCTGGTGGGGACATACCGCTGGAAGTGGTGAAAACGGCAGCTTATGATCCTCTGGATGTGAAGGTTCATGGAGTAGAAAGTGAATACCAGGAGGATCCTATCAGTGTTGAGAGAGATGAGAGGTGAAGGTAGAAGTGCAGGAAATTCATCCAGGCAACTGGGGAGTGTTCCATCACACTCCTGACTTGTGCTTTGTAGGTGATGGATAGGCTTTGGGGAGTCAGGAGGTGAGTTACTCACGACTGTATTCCTAGCCTCTAACCTGTTCTTGAATTCACTGTATTTATATGGCAAGTCTAATTCAGTTTCTGGTTGATGATAACTCCCAGGATGTTGTTACCAGGGGATTCAGTAATGGTAATACCATTGAGTGTCACAGGTTCATGCTTAGCTTCTCTCATGTTGGAGATGGTCTTCACTTGGCACTTGTGTGGCATAAATGTCGCTTGCCACTTTTCAGTGGAAGCCTAAATGTCATCCAGATTTTTGTGCAGAAAGGACAGATGCAAGTGAGTGAAGTGTAAGATGGGTGAACTAATGTCTAGACTTTGGAAATCAAGAAGTGAACACACATTCTCAGAGCGCAGAAAGAACCAGCCTTTCACTGAGAAATGACAACTGCTGTACACTTTCATGGTTTGAAGGTTTGGCAAACTGTCAGCTTTACTGTACAGGCACTCCTTGCTGTGCACTCATCACTGACCTTGCCTGGTTCCACACAGCTCTGGAAACGCACGTACCAGGTTCAAACTTCAGTTAATTCCCTCTTTGATTATTACAGCTATTCAGCTAACAGTTCCATACAGGGATTCCTCTCTCTGGCAAACTACCTGGAAATGAAACAAACACAGAGAATAATGGAGAAACTCAACAGGTCAGTTAGCATCCGTGGAGAGAAATACAGTTAACATTTCGGGTCTGGTTTGACTTCTTCAGAACACAAAGAAGAGTCATACTGAACTCAAAACATTAACTCTGTTTCTCCATTGACAGATGCTGCCAGACCTCCTGAGTTTCTTAAGCATTTTCTGCGTTAGTTTCAGATTTCCAGCATCTGAAAGATTTTGCCTTCATTCCAGTTGGATCATGTCAATTACCTGATCCAATACTACTTTCAGGGTTTCAACCTCTTTGCTTGCCCCCAAACCTGTCTCCCCTGACAATTAAAATTCTGTCCTTTTTAAAATATAAAATCAGGTCATTTTTATTTAATAACACTTACAAACACTATATAGTCCACGGGCTATTTTCCATTGCACGCCAACATCAGGATAAAGTTTCAGTGCCTTGATACTGAATAAGGTTATCAGGAAGTTGATGCATTGAAATCGGACAGTTCCTGGATTATGGCATGGAATTTGCAATTGAATGATGGTGAAATGTTCAGTGTTTGCCATTATTATATAATTAGACTAAAAGAAAGAAACTTGTAGTATGCACACACGTGCAGTTAAATGTAGAAAACTAGCAGTTGTGATCCTTTCCTTCTTCTCCTCAGGGCTTGCTGCTACATTTCTTGCAAAGGTCATCAACATTGAAACAGTGACTTGCATGAACTTCAATTTTTTTACACATTATTCTTACTGCAAAAGCTGTTGAAAATGTTAAGCCTGGGTAAGCAAGGTCTAACTGAGTTTTCATAATAAGACCTATGTACCAAGAAATAATAGCTCTTGCCCTAAAGCACATTTCTGCAAGTCTGCACTGTCATTCCCTCACAAAAGTACTAAAACGTTCACATTTTTAAAATAATAAAAATTAAGTTCTATTTTTAACACTTTACTTACAGCATTTTAGCTTCTACCTTAATTCTACGTGTTTGTAATTACTCTTCACTTTTTTTTCTGATGTGGTTTAAAAAGTGAATTATGAACCAAGTTTGATTATTCTTTAATTTGATTGGCTGATCAGTCTGTCCAATGTCTTCATTGTTGCTCAATTCCATAGATCCTGAACTGATGTTACCATTTTTAAAACCACGTCAGAGTTAAAGAAAATTACAATATTTAAAAGACATCTGGACGGGTATATGAACAGGAAGGGTTTAGGGGGATATGGGTCAAATGCTGCCAAATGGGAGTAGATTTATATTGGATATTTGGTCAGCATAGACGAGTTGGACTGAAGGGTCTGCTTCCATGCTATACATCTCTATGACTCTATGACTCTATCTGCCCATTGGAGCCTGTTTGATATGTTGTGAAAAGCTTCCTTTCAGGTCAGCAGGCAGCTTTGTCTCCTTGCTGCTGGCTATGAAGTTCAGCCCAACATGTCCGAGCAGAAATAAAATACATGTTCCTTAGGGGAGACAGGTAAACTGATGATTGTAAATAAAAATGGTTGATGATTGTAAATAAATTTTTCCTGTTTCGTGAGAAAGTACTACAGCTGAATAGCTGCTTTAAAAGGTTAGAACTGCTTAAAAAACAACAATCAGCTCATGTTCAAACCCTTGGGTGATTACAGGTATGTGCTGTAATAAAATGGCATGCAGTATAAAGATTCTGTCAAAGCCCACCCAAGCAGTTTTGTAATGCGTAATTAGGGAGAGGAGCTACACTGCACATGAACAGAAACACTTCTAACCACAGTCAGATCTTCAGTCAGGAGGAACAGTGGAAAACAGTCGGCTGTTTAGGCTCTCAAAGTTGTTCTTCCATCCAATGAAATCGTGATTGTCTGGATCCAAATTCCATCACACACTTGGCTCTACATCCTTGGCTAGAATGCATGTATCAGCCCCATTCAATATGATCAGAGCTGATGTGATGTTGACCTGAACTCTACATTCCTGCGTATCCCCAATAATCTTTCATCCTCATCAAGAATCTATCTCCCTCTGCCTTCAAAATATCTAAAGATTCTGCATCCACTGCCTTTTGAGGGAGGGAATTCCAAAACTCTCAACCCTCTGAGAGAGAAAATGTTTCCTGTTCTGTGTCTTAAACTGGTGTCTCCTTATTCTTGAACAATGACCCCTAGTTCTGAATTCTCCCACAATAGGAAACATCCTTTCCACATCCACCGTCAAGTCCCCTCAGGATTTATGTTGCAATCAAGTCACCTCTGTCACTTTTAAACTATACAGGATACAAACACAGCCTCCCTAGTCTTTCCTCTTAATGCAATCCACTCATTCCAGGGTTTAGTCCTGTAAATAAAACCAAAGAACTGCAGATGCTAGAAATCAGAAACCAAAGCAGAAATTGCTGGGAAAACTCAGCAGGTCTGGCAGCAACTGTGGAGAGAAATCAGAGTTAACATCTGGACTTGAAATGTTAACTCTGCTTTTTCCCTCCACAGATGCTGCCAGACCTGCTGAGTTTTCCCAGCAATTTCTGTTTTGGTTTTGTAAACCATCTCTGAACAGCTTTCAACAATTAATGTTGTTCCATCAGGTCCGGTGACCAGCACTGTACACAGTATAGGTGACTCACCATTGCCCTGTATAACTGAAGTATCACTGCCTTGCTCTTGTATTCAGTTCTTCCTCACAATAAAACATAACACTCTATAAACTTTCCAGAATAGCACTGTCACCTTTTCTTAAATATAGTCCAGACATCAATTCACAGAAAATAATTGTGCATTGATTAATGTTTGAGACTAAAATTTGGATCATGCCCCATTGTCATGTAAACTGTATGTGCCTTACGAAGCGAAAGGCCCAGATCAAACTTGATCCTCTGGCTTCATTAGAATAATGGTGAGTTGCACCAACAGCTCTGACCCCTGGAGTAGTATTTATTCAGACTTGGGATATGAGCATTGTTGCCTTTTAGTACCCATCCCTAATTGCCCTTGAGAAGGAAGTGGTGAGCTGCCTCTTGGACTGCTGTAGTCCTTGGTTTGTAAGGTCACTGATAGTACATTTTGGACCATCTAGATTTTTAACCGAGCAGCACTGAAGAAAAGGGGATATATTTCCAAGTTAGGATGGTGAATGATGGCTTGGAGGCAACATGGTATTTCCCATGTATCTGTTTGCCCTTATCCTTTCAGGTGGTAGTGGTCATGGGTTTGGAAGGTGCTGTCTAATGAGCCTTGGCGAGTTACTGTAGTGCATCTTGCAGATGGTATGCACTGCAGCAACTGAGCATTGGTAGTGAATGCAGGGAATGTTGAAGGTGGTGGATATGGTGCAAATTGAGTGGGTTGCTTTGTCCAGGTCCAAGGCCAGCTGGTTATTGCTGGAGCTGCACCAATGCAGGCAAGTGCGGAGTATACCACCTCAGTTGCGAATTTTGTCTTGTGAACTGTCAGGGATGGGAGGGTGAGCATTGTTGGGGGAGTGAGGAAGGGGGTGAATATTTTGGGGGTTGAGGGAGGCTGGCAGATTGGCTTTGAGGAAACGGGAAGTGAGTTACTCACCATAGGATAGTCAGCCTCAGGATCTGCTCTTGTAGCCACTGTATTTACGTGATTGGTCCAATTCAGTTTCTAATCCATCTCTGAGGAAGTCTCAAAGAAATCCCAATATATAATTTGTCCAGATACCAACGTGGTGTGGAAATTGTGTATTTTACTAGTAAACCAGTAAATATGGAGATGTTACTGTAAGTGAAGGCTGCATACAGATATCAGACTGTAGTTAGTGGAGTGACTGCAGGAGAATGAAGGAGCAGAGCAACTGTAGTCTTTCCTGTTACTCACAGCCCCTTTTGAAAATAAATCTTAGATTTATATCTGTTTACAAAATGTAGAGTCTAGCCCTCCATGAGTCAATTTTAAGGATTTACATGTTTTCTGCCCTCAGACAGTGGGTTCTGCTTGTGCCCTCTTGCATTCTGTTTCTATCAGATGTCATCAGGAACAATCACATTTTATTGATTAGATTTAAGATGCTAGAGTAGGCACTGACAACACTAACATGACTGCACTGGATTGTAAAACAGACTCTGAAGAAGGGTCTAGGCCCAAAACGTCAGCCTTTCTGCTCCTCTGATGCTGCTTGGCCTGCTGTGTTCATCCAGCTCTACACCTTGTTATCTACATAAATAAAAGTGCTCACCCGCTGACAGTGTTCACCCCCTCCCTCAGCACGCCCCTCACTCCCTGACAGTACTCACCCCTCCCTCACCCTCTGACAGTACCAGCTGGCTGTGCAATGGAGTGAGAGCAGGTTGGTGCCAGGTTCCACACAGACAGCTCATAAAGAAACAGAGGAGTTCACTAGTCATCATTACACAGGATGGAATATGAGCTTTTAGTTTCCATCAATGCCAATGGGAGAAATGACTTGATAATGCCATCCATTTTCTTATTGGGAAGGAGGGTAAAATACAATAAAGCCAATGTGTAACAGCAAGGTTTCTGTTTAGTTTCTGTCCAATTGTTTTGTTGTCAAATAGGTCACTGTCTGCTTTCATCTGGAGGAATAGAATGCAGCATAGGTGGGATCAATAAAAGAAAAGAAAGAATATAATTTAAAGATAAAGAAAATATTTTCCAATTTTGCATTTTATTTCTGAAAGAACTGGTAATAATAATATAAACCTGGAAATTACTGGAAATGGCTTCAAATAGCCACTAGGAGACAGCAGAGACAATCGAGAATGACAGATAACACAATATTCATAATAACTTCTGTAACAACTTCCCAAAGTCATCCCAACAACTTGAACCCTTTCAACATTTCCACAAACTTTCCCTCTCATAGACTGATCTATCACCCTGAGATTACATCTCTGAAATGAAACACTGGTGCCTTGTTGTTAGAATCTCTGGATGCTGGAGTAGGAATGTTTATTGCCTTCACATTGAAAATTGCTTTTGGTCCGATATTTTCATGGCAGTGTTCTTCCATAATTCTAGCTAGAAGCATTGCACCAGAAAATGATAAAGAATTAGAGATTTCTCTCCTCTAGCCCTTAATTTCCACTGTCTTTCTTGGTCCTGCCTATGCAGCTCTGCGTATGTTTCATGTAAATAGCATGGCTGTGTACGTGGAGGAGTTTCCAACATGTCCCTTCCTTATCACTGCTGGTGAGTGGAAGGCCATTGTAAATTGGGACAATGATTCTGGATCCCCTGATGAAGTGAAAGGTTCCTCTCTCAGCAATAGTCTGAAATTGGCCATTTGATCATTACAGTAACATGTCAGAGCTTGCTATGTCTTCTATCTCATTCTATTACAACAAGTCAACTTATGGGAGTTCTTTTTCCCAATGACATACTGGTAGTTGACAAAGTTGTAGCAATGTGGTCACAATAATTTGCCCTCCTCAATAAAAATAGTGCCGTGAATCTGTGATATGAATGCATTAGGAGTTATTGAATATACTTGAATGCTCACTTTGTGGAAAAGCATGTTTACTAATAAATGCATGCAGACATTTTGAAGATGTAATGTAATCTGACAGTTATACATCAGAGTGTTTGCCCTTTTTTTCACATGGCCATCAATCTTTCTCAACTACATGTACACCGTAATTCACATCAGAACTTTCTAATACACAGAATATGACGTGGCAGGACCACATCCTAATTGCATGTATTTTTTTAAGAAGGAGGATGCTGATGTAGCTTTTTGCAGCATTTTGAGTTTTTTTAAAATTCATTCATTGGATGTGGGCACTTCTTAATTGCCTCCCCAGGGCAGTTAAGAGTCAATCACATTGCTGTGGGTCTGGAGTTACATATAGGCCAGACCAGGTAAGGAGGCAGATTTCCCTCCCTAAAGGGCATTAGTGAACAGTTCCATGGTCATCATTAGACTCTTGATTCCAGATTGTTATTGCCGTGGTGGGATTCAAACCCAGGTCCTAGAACATTTCTGGATGAATAGTCTACTATAATACCACTAGACCATCCCCTGTGTAAATTGGTAGATTTGAAGCTGTAGCCATAAAATACTCTTTTTACCTTTTTAACACCCCAACACTGTCAGTTATTCAGAAAAAATATTGTTCTCTCAAATTGTCATTAATGAGAAGATGTCATCATTCCTTTAAAATAAGAGCAAATTGTGTATTTGTTTCGAGTGAAGGAGGATGAGAAACATAATTCAGGATGGCTCCAAGGTCAAAAAGTGTGAAAGGAGAGATAAAGTAAACCTAGAAACAATGCTCAGTCATCACCAAGGGCTATCGAATCTTTTATTTGTGTCTCAATCGCAAAACTGAGTCAAGAAAAGAATTTCATAGCTTATGACATCTCAGTAATGACTGAATTAGAGAGTGTGAAGGGGTGGTGTATCCTATCTCAGTTACACACACATTCAGACAGAGAACATATTGTCTTTAGCTTTAACGGAGTTGTTCACATACCTGGGCTCCTTTAGCAGGGAAACATTGGCAGACCGAACAATCTCGTCCGTAACAGGGACCAGTGTAGTCAATATGACCCTAAAACAGGAAAATCATTGATGAGAGACTGATAATATGCAGAAAATAGCAACAAAGCAAGATAAATTGAGAATGTTCTTAATGAGTAATTCTTCAAAATAGTTGGTTAATTTAACCAGAAAACACTTTTATTAACCTGCAGCAATGGATCCCAGCAAAATAATTTGAGAAATGGATAATGGGGCATTTCTGAGGAGCTTCTGAGCAGCACGGGCAGGGAGAAACACAAGGTTTCCTTGGGGCAGGTGAGACATCCCCGCTCTACCATGTTCACGAGGAAACCTTTAAAGTGTAAGGTTAAATGTTCCGGTTGGTACACTTCTCCTGTGCACGGGAGATTCCCTGATGAGACTGGAACCCAGAACTGTTACAGCATCACAGAAACATGAAATGGCTACAGCACAGAAGGAAGATACTAGGCTGACTGTATCCACGCTTGCTATCTGTGACAGCAATTCACCAAGTGGCACACTCCACCCTTTCTCTGTAAAGGTTTCCTGTTCAAAGAATTACCCACTTCCGCATTGAAAGCCATGTTTGAATCTGCCTCCACCACGCTCTCATACAGCTCATTCCAGATCCTAAACACTCGTTTGATAAAAAAGGTTGCCTTTATGTTGCTAATGCTGGTTCTCAAACTTCCCACCAATGAGAACAGTTCCTCTCTCTGCTCTGATCAGTCTCATTATGATTTTGGATGTCTCCAGACCAATCTTCTCTCTACAGGAGAACAATCCCAGATTCTTCAATTGATATATGTAGTTGAGGCTCCTCATCCATGGAACTATTCTTGTGGATCTCTTCTGAACTCTAAGGCAAAGATCCTTAGACAGCACTTTCCAAGCCCACAACCACTTCCATCTAGAAGGACAAGGGAACACCACTATATGTAAGTTCCCCTCCAAGCTACTCACCATCCCGACTTTGAAATGTATCGCTGTTCCTTTATTGTTGCTGGGTCAAAATCCTGGAATTTCCTCCCTAAGGGCATTGTGGGTCAACCTACAGCACATGGACTGCAGTGGTTCAAGAAGACAGCTCATCACCACCTTCTCAAGGGCAACTAGGGGTGGGCAAGAAATGCTGGCCAGCCAGCGACACCCATATCCCATGAGCGAATAATAAAAAGCAGTGGAAGAGATTACTATAGACGAGCTGGAGCCAGAGAGTGTATACAAAGGGAGATTTGACCAGCAACAAGTAGCTGTTTGGTCTGTGAGGTGGTGACAGTTGTTGAAGAAAAGACCTTCTGCCTGCCAACAGCTGTGTGATTGGTTCCCAGGTAACTGAACAGCTTGTTGGAGTGAATGTTTGGTCAGAAGCCATTGGATCTCTGAAAAGGAAGGTGCTGTATTTTTACTCAGCAGCAAAAAAAAAACCACAAGCCTGAAGAAAAAGCAGTTTATTTCCCCTCATCAGTCACTGTGGCTTTTAACTAATACGTCAGAGACCTGCAAATGTGAAGAAGTAAACCCCTGCCTTCTGCAAACAAGTGATGTATCTGGAGAAGGAAAACCAAGCAGCAGCAGGTCCAACAAACCAAAAGGAGCATCTGAGTGAACCTCTGTGGACAGACACCAAGTCTTTCCCTCCACCTAGAACACCCAAGGTTATTTTGGTGTCTGCCTGTGTGAGTGTGGGTAGAGTTATATGTCAATAGTTCATGATTATTTACATGTAGCTACAGTCCATTTATTTGTTATAAATAGTCATTCTTGTTCAGTACAGAAAGCTGCTCCATGCTTTCTATCAACCTGGGTCTAAAAGATAGGAGAATTGGAGAATTCTAAATACTTGTTAAAACCTTTAACTTTTATGATGACCCTGGAAATAGTGGGGCTTGATTTCCAGCACATGACCTCAGTGAGTTGTAACATCTTTGAGACAGAAAATTCTTCCTCATCTCTATCTTAATCTGTTACTGTGCAGGAATAGGAAGGTAAGCCATTGAAGGAAATGCTTTAGTTATGACAAGACAGATAAAGATGAAAACAGGCTGCAGCAGTCCCATCTAACTGGACATCAGTGGAGTGGCATTGGATGAAGATGGTGCAGTCAACTGGTTTAAAGACTACAAATGGAATGGGAAAGCTAAGCAGGGATAGACCACCATAGAAACATAGAAACTAGAAGCAGGAGTCATAAAGCTGTACAGCACAGAAACAGGCCCTTCAGTCCAACTCGTCTATGCCGAACAGATATCCCAAATTAATCTAGTACCATTTGCCAGCTTCTATTTTCTATGTTTCTATGGTGGTCTATCCCTGCATAGCTTGTAGGAATAGGCATTCAGCTCACTGAGCCCACTCCATCATTCAATGTGATCATGGCTGATACTCTTTCTCAATGCCATACACTCCCTCTCTCCCCATATCCTTTATATGTCTAACTTGTTTTTCAATATACAGGCTTATATTTTGGTAGCCAAGCAAATAAACGCCTACCTATATATTTTGTGCTATAGTTCACACGAGCTATGTGACCACTTATGAACATATTTGAGGTTAAAACTATTTACCTCGTGATCCAGACACATATTTTCATTGTAACAGGTGCTGAGACTGATAAGGAGTTGGGAGGTCATGTTGCGGCTGTACGGGACATTGGTTCAGCCACTTTTGGAATACTGTGTGCAATTCTGGTCTCCCTACTACAGGAAGGATGTTGTGAAACTTGAAAGGATTCAGAAAAGATGTACAAGGATGTTGCCAGGGGTGGAGGGTTTGAGCTCTAGGGAGAGGCTGAATAGGCCGGGGCTATTTTTCCTGGAGCATCGGGGGCTAAGGGGTGTCCTTAGAGAGGTATATAAAATCATGAAAGGCATGGAAGGCTAAATAGCAAGGTCTTTTCCCCAAATCAAAAATTAGAGGTCATGGCTGATGTGTTTCTCATTCTCCCCCCTTCTCCCCATAACTCTTGATCCCCTTATCAATCAAGAACCTTTCACTCTCATCTTAAATATACTCACTGACTTGGCCTCCACAGCCCTCTGCGACAATGAGTTCCACAGATTCACCACCCTCTGGCTGAGGAAATTCCTCCTCATCTCAGTTTGAAAGGGTCATCCCTTCACTCTGAAGCTGTGCCTCAGATAACATGGGGACCAGGAAGCAAGTTGAGTACAACCGTCAGAGACTGTTATTGAAGCAGGACTGATAAACCATGGGGCAATTAGTTGCTTGAAAAAGAGAAATGTTAGAGGATAAGGAGAGTAAGCAGTAGTGTGTTTGGAAATGGTGGCTTGTATTGAGAATAACACAAGCATAGATTCACGACCAAAATGTCTTTTCCTATGCTCTAGCATTTCTTGACTCCATGACACACAGTATCATTTTATTGTCTCTTTTTAAGCACTTTACTTCTTACCATAGCCTTCACACACAATTTCCTTCATGCCTCATCTGTGCCATGGTCACTAGTGATCCTGGGTCAACAATGCTGAAAGTGAAACTGCTGTCCCTTCCCTTCTCCCACACAGCTCCCACAGCCCGACAAGCTGGTTAGCGAGTTTCTGAAGCCTTGAACTAAAGGCAGTTTTATTTCTATATGCTCAAGTACAGCATGTAATGGTTGGGTAATGAATAGCTTTGAGGAATGTGGGATTGGGTTGCTCGGTTGGTTGGACAGCTGTTTTGTGATGCAGAGTGACAGTAACAGTTTGCGTTCAATTCCTGTATTGTCAGAGGTGACCATGAAGGATTCTCTTTCTCAACCTCTTCCCTTGCCTAAGGCATGGTGACTGTCAGGTTGAACCACCATCAGTCATTTCTCTCTAAAGAGAGAGCAGCCGTATGGTTCAGTACAGCTATGGTGACTTTACCCTTTATACATAATAAACTTTATCATATGTGCACTCACATTTTGCACATACTAGTACACACCATAATCACAACAATGTTTCAAACAATGTATTAGAGAAGAGTTTCAAAGCTCTGCCAATTGGCTGATATAGCTGCTCGACATTTATAATATAATACCTTTAGAATTTCATCAGGAGTAACAAAAGTGACCTTTTGATACCTCCTCTAGAGAGTGATTTCTCTGGATTTACAGGAATTAAACATTTGTGTTTTGAGTAAATAAATGTTTTTGCCTCATTGATAGTGATGCCCTGTCGTAAATTGTAACCACTCAACTCCATTAGTAAGTTTGGAGTTATTTCCATTTCTACAGTTACAGGATGCTGTTGAAAAGCAAGAGAAATTTTGTGTTTTACTGATCCTCAATAGAGAGGAGTTGGCGGCATATCGTTAAAACTGACTTGGGCTGAACTCCAGAGACATAGGTGCAATGCCTAATGTACAGCAGGTGGAATTTGAATTCAGTTGATAAATCTGAAATTAAAAAGTGAATATCAGTCACAGTGCCATGAAACCAGCCTCTCAGTTGTATCAAATTGCAAGAAAAAGCCTAAAATGAATGAACCTACTAACAATTGGGAGTTCATATCAGAATTGGGAGAGTCAGTCATCTCACAGAATCATACTTTACAGAAGATACCCATAAAAACACTATGACTATCCTGGGTGTGATAGGTTGTGGCACAGTGGGGTATATTTACACAAGAAGGAATCTAACCATTGTTCTTGGCATTCAATGGATTTACGATTGCTCAATCCCCATTATCAACATCCTGGACAGTTACCATTGACCAAACATTTTACCATACCAGCCATATGAATACAGTGACTACATAAACAGGTCAGAGAGTCAGAATATTCCAGCAAGTAACTCATCTGCAGTCTCCTCAAAGTCTGTACACAATGTACAAAGTTCAGGTCAGGAATGTGATGGGAATACTCCCTACTTGCCTGGATGGATGCTGCTCCAACAACTAAAGAAGCTTGGCACCATCCAGGACAAAGCAGCCCACTTGATTGGCATCACATCCACAAATATCTACTCCCTCCACTACCAATGCTTAGTAGCAGCAGTATGTACTATCTACAAAATGTACTGTAGCTTCTCATCAAGAGTCCTTCAAAAGCAAACTCACTACC